TCCCGCCGCGGGCTCCCCCGCCTCCCGGGCCGCCGTGACCCGGCTCGCTCCGACTCCGGCGACCTGGGCCGGGGACAGCCGCTCCTCAGTGACCCGGGCGGGCGTGCGTTCCCGGGCGAGGAGCCCCGGGGGTAACTGGAGCCGCTCAGGTCGGACTTTCCTCCCCGCGGCCCTGGCTCGACTTGGGGGCCATCCCTCGCCCCGAGTAACCTCGCGTTTCCAGGCTCCAGGGTGAAGCTGGGTCGGCGGCCGCCTTCACTCGTGCTTCCCACGGGGGCGCTGTGCAAACCCTCGCTGGCTTGCTTCGACCATCTACTTAGCAGCTTCACCTATGCCAGATATCTGCTGAGGGAGGCCGGAGGGTGGACGCCTCGCCTGTGTCTCTCACTTCCAGGGCTCGGTAGAGACACTGAACTTGAACCGTCACTGGGCCTTACCAGTTCCTAGCTCTGGTCTCCTTGACAGGTGGAAAGAGAGACAGACTGCTCAGCTGTAGGGCTTTCAGGAAAACAAGGTAACTTACACACACACACACACACACACACACACACAGTGCAGGCCGTGACCATATTTAAACCTGAGATCGCAGAGCTTCTTTAGACCAAGAAATACAGCAGTTAAAGTAGGCTCAAATACACTCCGTTTTACCTCTACTCCGTTTAACAATTGCTTTTGTTTCAATCGTGCTGTACACAAGGATGCGCTATTCTTTCAGATTCTCCGCGCCTGACTTCTTGCCTCTTCATGGGCCTCACCCTGTGCTGAGTGGTCTTTGTGGGATTTCAGACGTTGTGGGGATGTTTAGTATGGAAACTGGCCTTTCTGCTACCATGACACTGCAACAGAAACCGGCTCCGGCCCTCTGGCGCGCTTCTCTTCTTAGCGCTTCTCATTATGAACACCAGGAAGCAAATCCCAAGATCTCGGGCCTGCCTCACAGTCCGGCCTGCTCCGGCTCCACATTTCCGGAGATACGCAGAAGTCCACTCCCACCTCCGCGGTCACCATCCTCCAGTGCAGTTCCCACCCTGCAGACGGCTCTGCCCTCAACCACAAGCCTGGAGATACCGGTTCTCTATTCTCAAATATTTCTCGGCTTCCCATCAAACAGCGTCTGCACACCTCTTGCCATCACACACCTGTGTCTGTCCTTCTTAGGTGTTCCTTCCAGGTGTCAGATTCAAATCACTGTACCCTCTGCCAGGCCCACTCCAGACTCTGCCTCTTGTGTGATCGCTATGCTTTCACAGCCACAGGACATGGTCTCGGCTCTCTTAGAAGATACATATCACTTTCTCAGAGCATATACGTACTTCCTGCGTGCATAGCTTACCATTTTAAATTAGAAACTCTTTCAGGGCCGCTTCTGTGTTCTTTTATCCTTTGCATTTCTTGCATCTAACCCAAAGCCACACATACGGCTCCAGAGGATACCTACCATATTTCCTCCTAAATATCAACAAAACTTACTTCATTTTTGCTCCAAAAGATGCATTAGGGCATATTTCCATGTACAACAATTACATTTATTCATGTACAAAAGTCGTGCACAGCCATGTCATCTTCTTCTGGAACACTGTCGTAACTAAACCCTGAATTCCTTGCTACTCCATTTCCTGTAGAACCATTCGGCCCAATCGCTCATGTCCAGCAAGAGAGCTGTCCTTCATAAATGAGCACGGCTTGTCCACGTTGCCGGCTAGTGGAGCGCTGACAACACAGATGTCAGTGATTTCATCCCATGAGTTCCGCACCCACGTCACGACCTCTTGCAGGCTGGCTTTGCAAAGTTTCTATAAAATCCAGTGTAAATTGAAGACTTACAAGACAGGATTGCTAACAAAAATTAAGACAGTTAAGAATGCTGATCCATATAAAAGTGATGAAATATTAAATTGCAGGACCAAAATTCAGAAAACACTTTTGTACTGCACAGGAGTGTATTAAGTGTGTCCATTACAACACACATGTATTAAATTAGGAAGATTCATGTTAGACACAACCACATCTGTTATCAACTGTGTACGTTATTCATGTGTTCTGTCTGTACTCCAATTGGTCGTTCAGCAATAGGTCTCCAGTTCTTCTGTTTACACAGGTGTTTACCTCTCCAAAAATATCTGCTTGGGTATTTACAAATAATTTATATTATCATTTAAGTATTAATGTCAATAACATTGTTTATATTTCATTATAAATTAATATTATTTTATAATTCAGTACATCTGCCGTGTGTTGCAGTGGACATACTAAACCTGCCTGCATGGCTGACAATATTAAGTGAGGCTTATTTTTGAGGTAGGACTTCTATTTTGAACATCCTGAAGAATTAGGCTAAGGTTTATTTTCTGGTAGGTCTTATTTTCAGGGAACTGTGCTATTCACCCAATGAACATTTATTTTGTAGCTTTTGTCAAGCACTTTACAATTGCTAAATGAACAGAACTTATAAAACACTTTAAATCTAGAAAGATGTCTCAGGATTGTTTTGGATATGCCAACCCTTAAATGACCTCACCATCTTTCATAAATTTAAGGATGGTAAAAGTCTTACATTATTAGTCCTATATTGATATTACTGGTCACCTTGGTAAGAATTTAATTATTTGACAAAAATTTGTTTTAAAAATTTTACATTAAATTTCCACTAGATTTGAGAAATCTAAAACCATTTCCCTACTATATGAGTGGTCATGAGTCAAGAAACTGATTTATCTATTGGCTAAAATATGCTGTTATCTCCCTTTCCGGCAGACCAAGGGCTAGGAATAAGTTATCTACCCAACCAGAGTAATGTCCAGGAGCATCTAATTATAAGAAAAAAGTCTCTAGGGGAAAAATCTAATTTTGCTTACTAAGTTACTCAGTGCCTGAATAAGTTAGAGAGAAATAACCCATTGTATACAGATTGTTTGGAATTGCAGTTCTTTATATGCACACCTTGAATTCCAAATGGCAGTTGTGTTTCTTATTATATGGGTCCACCTCTTTAGTAGTACATTTGGGTTTTCTTCAATTGTTCTTCAAAGGATAAATTAAAATGGTGTAGCTAAAAGCCAAACATGTTTTCAGATTGCTCCTCAGCTCATCTTTTTTAAACCTTTATTGAGACTTCTAGAAATGTTCTTTATACTTTTATTTTAATTTCACAGATTTATTTTGTGATATGATGAAATCATATTAAAGCAGAGAAAGGCCTTATTTTATCAGAATTTTATCAAATTTTATCAAAATGCTTCCCTTGTAAAGCTTGGTAAGATAAATAACTGTAATACATGTTTAATCTGAAATACCCTTATGCATACCGGTAAATACAATTTAATTAAAAATGTGTTGCCTCCTACATCATACTGCTAGTGTATAGGAATATATGAGAATATACACAACATAAAGCATAAAAAGTTATTGGCTTTTTTGTTGTTTAATGTAGTATCTGAAAACACTTAGAATAGTCTCGATATTATTGGTTACACTTTAATTTAGCATTGGAATTTACATTGACAAATTGACTTAAAGAGTGTATAGATTAGAATAAAGTAGTGAAGGCTGGAGGATTAACATATTTTTAAAATGTTAAGGGCATAAGGGTAATAACTTACAAGTTTCAGTTAATAAATAAAGAGAACTTGATTTAATTTTTTTAAAAAAAATCAAATGGAAGGAAGTGTGAGACGTTGAATAAAATCAAATTCTAAAAAGAATATTTTAAAGTGATATGAACCTCATTAAAGGGGAAAATATACAAATGTGAGCTGTGTGTGTGTGTGTGTGTGTGTGTGTGTGTGTGTTTAAATTCTGGAAGCATATAATTAACAGTTAAAAGAGTCATCTCTAAATTGGAAGTTAGGCTTTGTTTTATTTGGTATAACCTGGTTATACCAAAAGATGGGTGGATATTAATTTTCTCTAAACATGAGAGTGTTACTTAATCATAGACCAATTTATAAATAGATTGTGACTACAATTTTTAAAAACATAATGGCAAATACTATTATGGTTTTTATTGTCATACCAGAAAGCAGCCATTGAAGAATAATTAGAATTAATCATATTCTTAGACCTAATTTGCTTTCTTTGTCAGAAAACTTGGGCAGTTCTGAGCAACTCACAGAATCTTAGCAGCCACTAAAATCCCACACTCACACATTGCAGTGAAGGCTTGCAAAGTGAGTGAGGCTTCTGTGTGTTTCATCGAAGAGGTAGCTACTATCTCACTGATTCAGATTTA